GGAGCTTTAAGGGCGACATTGAACTGATGACCGCACCTCCCTGAATGTCACACCTGGCTTGTGCTACAGTAGGAACTACTGGGCTACTTATTTTAATATTGGGCTGTGTAGCTTAGTTGTAGAGTGAGCTACCCTTTCTGGAAGGAGAGGCCTGGGACTCTAATCCTGGCCTGACAACTTGAAAGTACATGCTGAGGCTTGTAAAGCTGGATTGTTCTGGAACTGGAAAGTAAGCTGCTGGTGCTGTTCAGGGCAACCTGGGTGGGTGGGGGGGGGGCGCAAATAGGTTTTTTTTTTTTTTCTGGGTCCTTTAGTGGTGACAGGTTACAAGGATGTGTTCAGTTTTCTGTGGGAGAGACAAAACATTTTGGTTTGAGCCTTCATAGGCTGCTGACAGCCCATTATGGTTCCAGAAGGGAACTTGGGTGTGGTTTAGGGCATTCTTGGTCTGCAGGCCAGTCACTGGCCACCCATAGTTTAAGGTTGGGGCTGTGTGTGGGAGATTGGTAGAGCACAGCCAGCCATCAAAACTGTATCCCTAATAAGTGTCTAGGGATTGGAGGTAGGGCCAGCATTTGAGAGTTATCTGCAGGGTTCTAGTGTTCCTTTGTGACTTGGACCACTAGGTGGCAGTTGCTGAGTCTAAGTGCACAGTTGAACTTTTAAGTCCTGGGCAGTTGGCTTTGGAACCTGAATACCAAGCCATAGAAGTTTGTTGGTCAAGAACAGTGGTGGTTGGAGTTTCCTGTACAGCCTTGACTTTTCTGTTGCTAAAATGCCAGAGTTGGAGCTCTGCAAGTCAGTCTCACGATCTAAAGTTGGGTGTTTGTGAGATGGTAAACAAGTTCTGCTTTGGCTCATATGCTGGACATGAGTGTGTCATGCCTCAGTTCCCCCACAGTCCCCCAAGATAGACCAGAATGGGCCTGGCATACATACCTTGAATCCTAGCACTAGGGAGGCGATGACAAGTGGGTCTGCAGGTTTTGGTCTGCTCAGTGAGACTCTGCTTCAAAAGGCCCCAAGACGAAGCCAGGGTCTTCCTCTTTATCTTTGATCATCTCAAACTCTTTCTCACATCTCAGCCTTCCCTGTGCTGAGGTTATAAGCCTGTGACGCAAGACCCAAATAAACTCTAAAATCGCCCACAGCCTGGACTCCTTAGGGCAACTGTTCTTGCCTTTTGCTAGTCATTTCTTAGGGACTTAGCTGTTCAGGATGAGCAGACTCAGGTTGGTGGTGTTGGCCTGTGATAGCATGTGGGGGATGGGGCAGGATTAGAAGTTGAAGGGCAAACTTTGCTACATAGATTTGTAGTCAAAATTGGTAGTACATGCCTGTTAATTCCGGCAGCGGCAGGTGAACCTCTTGATTTCAAGCCTGGTACAGGACAACCAAGGCTACACAGAAATCCTGCCTTGAAAAAGATCCAAAACTTGGGCCAGAGGGATGGCTCAGCGGTTAAGAGCACTGATGCTCTGCACATCTTCACATGGACATGTGCAGACAAAATGGCAAATACATATGAAAATAAAAATTATTCTAATACTCCTAGCACCATAAAAAGGTCAGCAGCGGAGGCAATGGATCTATGTATTGATTAGTTGGCTTGTTCATTTAATACATGCCTATTTATCAAATGTCAACATTGTTTTCACAGTTGTACATCATTTACCAATTAAAAAGATAACTGGGATGGCTGGGAGGCAAGACCAGAGTTTGGATCCCAGTAGCCATGTTGGGTGGCTTAGAAAAGCAGGTAACTACAACTAAAAGGGACCTGGCGTTCTGGCCTCTGTGGGCATTCACTGGTCTCTGCATTCACTCTGACAGACACTAGTGTACACACAAAGTAAATCTTGTTTGGGCTTTAGGTGTGTATTCTGAGACAGCTCACCATGCAGACTAGAACTGGGATTGTATGTTGTGGCCAATAGATCATTAAAAACAACCCATGAGCTTCAGTAATGCGGAGGCAAGAAACAAGGCCAGTGAAAGTGGGAACTGGCAGAAACGTGTCTCAAAACATTGAAGCCCTCAGCATCAGGGCTCAGGCTGGCCACTGGCTGCTGGGCACTAAGTGACCGGTCACCAAGCAGCACCGGGTCAACAGTGACTGCAGAACAGGGAAACTGTTAGCAAAAAAGGGAGGGAGATCCATCATTTTCTCTGGTTTAGAAAAGGACGCAGGACAGAATGAGGGCATCGGGAGAAGGAAGTTCCAGCCCGTGGAAGCCCAGAGGCCAGTGCTGTTCAGAACAGCTTTATTGGAAGCCTGGAATAAATGCATGGCCCAGGTCCAGAGGCAGCCGCTTGAGAAATAAGCCTTGCCTGCTTGACTGACACATCAAAGAGGCCATTGTGAGAAAAGGGCATCTTTAAAGAGGACAAAATATGAACTGGGAGAGGATACCAAGCCAAGAGACTAAAGGCCTAACAGTGAAGCGAAGTTTATCGAAGCTATAAATGAAATGGGACTCCAGAATTGTGAAGGGAGCCTCAACATACATAGTTAGTTTTTTTAAAGATTTCTTTTTCTTTCTTTTTTTTTTTTTCTTCCCTGAAAATAGGGTTTCTCTGTGTAGTCCTGGCTGTCCTGGAGTCACTTTGTAGACCAGGCTGGTCTCAAACTCACAGAGATCCTTTGCCTCTGCCTCCCTGAGCGCCGGGACTAAAGGCATGCGCCACCACACCCACCTTGTTTTTATTGTGTGTGCGTGTGCGTGTGCGTGTGTGTGTGTGTGTGTGTGTATGCAGTACTGCATGTGTGTAGTGCCTACAGGCTCCAGAAGGTGTTGGATGGATCCCTGGACCTGGAGTTACAGGTGATAGTGAGCCACCTCATATGGGTTCTGGGGACCAGACCGGGGTCTCCTACAAGACCAGTAAGTGTTCTTAACTGCTGAGCCATCCCTCCACGGCTCCTCTCCTACCCTTTTCCCCTTTGGAGCAGTATTTCATGTAGCCCAGGCTAGCCTCAAACTTGCTGTGTAGCCAAGGATGGCCTGGAGTTTCTGATCTTCCTGCCTCTACCTCCTGAACACGCTGGTTAAAGAATTGTGCTGTTCCCCGGTGCACTTGGTGTTTAGGATGGAACCCAGAGTTTCATATACACTAGGCCAACAGTCTACCAAATCAGCTACGGTCCCAGCCCTCCTTACGGTTTAAATTTGTGTTTTGCTGTTAATGATAATGTCCCGTGCTTTGTTCTTCCTTGCATATTTTCTGGTGAGATATCTGTTTAACTACTTTGTACTTTGTTGTACAACCCTGGCTTTCCTTGCCATATCCTCAGTCTCAGAGACCCATCTTCCTCTGATTCCCCCGTGCTAGGATAAAGGAATGTGCCACCTCACTGGGTAGACTTTTATGTAGTGCTGGGGCCTGAGTACGTGGCAGACAAATCCCTGAGCCTCTTGATCTTTTTTTCTTCTAAGATTTTTTTTTTTTTCATTTTCCTTTTGGATGTTTTGCCTGCTTATATGTCCATCATATACGTGCTTGGTCCCTGAAGAAGTCAGAAGAGGGCGTGGGGTCTCTTGAAGCTGGAATTCAGATGGTAGAACACCGTATGGGTGCTGGAACTAGAACCCGGGTCCTTTACAAAAGCCAAGAGTGCTCCCAACCCAAGTCAGGCCTCCAGCCAGACCCCATTTATTTATTTATGTTTATTGGTGTTTTGCCTGCATATATAATATGTGTGTGTAAAGGAACTGGAACCGCAAACAAACAGCTGTGAGCTGCCATGTGGGTGCTGGGATTGAACCCGGGTCCTCTGGAAAAGCAGCCAGTGCTTTTAACCATTGAGCATCTCTCCAGCCCCTTTAATTATTTTGTTTCATGAACATTTTCAAACTACTAAAAAAAGTTCCTGTGTGTGTGGCTACATATATCAGAGAGCACATGTGGAGTTTGGCAGTTTGTGGGTGGTGGTTCTCCCCTTTCACCGTGTGGTGCCGGGGACCTAGCCCAGGTTGTCTGGATTCGGGCGAGTGCCTCATTTCCTGAGCCATCTTTTGGACCCCTCTAGACTACTAACGAGTGTACTGCATACAAGCTGATTGAAATAGGTAACCGGGGCCCGCCAGATGGCCCACTAAGGTCCTCTGCAGCCAGGCTCGGCCGATTGAGTTGTCTCCTGGTCCTGCATGCTGGGAGAGAAAAGTATTCACACAAGTTGCCCTCCGACCTCACGTTAAGTATCACGGAGCGCCAAGTGCATGGTAATGGTGCTGGGTTTGGCCCAGGAACAAGGTACCCCACTTTCACTTTCTTCGAGGGGACTCCAATATATACTCATTGCCAGAAGAGATGTTTCATGATTTACACAAGTGTGCTGTGTGTGTGTGTGTGCACGCGCACACACAGTCTGTCCTGCTTCTCCAGTTTAAGAGGACGCGTTTGCTTCTTTTATTTTTCCTTTTCCGGTGCTGGGGTTCGAACCCAGTCCTCAAGCATGCCCGGCAAGTGGCCCGCCCCTGAGCTTTTCTTTTTGCACAAATAAACGGGCTGCACACGCGTTCTGATAGCCGCGGAGGGCTGCAGAGAGCAGGCACACGCCCCGCCCCGCTCCCGATGCCCGGCGGCTAGGGAGGACGGTCTGCGGCGAGGCACAGCACCCCGTTTCCCAGCGGACCGCCGCTGTCTCCTGCTCCCGTGGGCTGAGCGGCACGACCTTGGATCAGGCCGCTCACCCGGTGCCCCCGGGCGGGCTCTCTGCCTGGGGGCGCCGCGGACCGCGTGTGCAATGTCGGGGGTTCTCGAGTGGCGCCCACGCGCCGCGACCCGCCCGGCTTCCGCCCTCCGCGGGCCCGACGCTGTCTACGTAGCGGCCGCGCCAGCTCCCGGCCGCCCTCGGCGCAGATGCTCCCCCGCGCCGGGCGCGCGGCGCCGGGCGCCATGCCCGAACGCCGTCTGCGCTGCGCACGCGCGCCCGTCCCGCGGGCCCGCGCGCCCTTACGCCGCTGACGCAGCGCGCCCAAAATGGCGGCGCGGTCGTCGTCGGGGGCGGCGGCGGCAGAGGGGGCGGCGGCGGTGGCGACGGCGGCCGTGACGGAGGCGCGGGGCCTGGGCCGGGGGCAATGAGGCTGTCCCGCCGCGGAGCCGCGTAGCGGACACACACCCCCCCCCCCCCCCCCCCCCGCCTCCTCGGCCGAGCCGGGGGCGCGCGCGCGCGGCCGTCCGCAGCAGCCTCCGCCTCGTCCCTCCACTTCGAGGCCCCGCACGGCACCCCCACCAGGGCCCGGAGGATGATGAAGCTCAAGTCGAACCAGACCCGCACCTACGACGGCGACGGCTACAAGAAGCGGGCCGCGTGCCTGTGCTTCCGCAGCGAGAGCGAGGAGGAGGTGAGGCTCCGGGCCGGGGGCCGCGGCCAGCACGGCCCCGAGGACTCCCCCCGGGCTCCCCCGGGGACGGCGGCGACGGGGAGCCCGCCCGAGGCGGGGGGCTGCCGCCGTGCCCCCGGCCCGCGGCTCTGCCCCGGGGAGGGCGGCTCGGCGCTTGTCAGCTCGGCGCACGTGCGCGAGGCGCAGGCCGGCCTTTGTGGCGGAGCCGAGGGCCGCGCCGGCCGCCGCGGGGCCGGCCGAGGGCTGGTGGCCGCGGGTGAGCCCGGGCAGGGACGGGGACGGAGAGCCAGCCGTTCGGTTCTAACGTTGAGCTGCTGGGTGCGTGTGGTGGGACCTGAAAAGAAAGGGCATTGGGTACGGTGGTGTGCGTGTGCGTGGACCGAACAGCCTCACAAACATCAAAAAGCTGCATTAATCAAATAAGATCGCTGTCCTGACAGTTCTCTGCTGTGCCCTGTAGGATGATGGCTCGTCGGATATGCTAGGAAAACAGACCTGCTTACAGGCCGTTTCTTTTTGCTTTAAGCAACTTATGTTAAAAAAAAAAAATCTCAGCTTCACAAAGCCGTTTCTGTGGTGATGAAGGGAATTCAGAAAAGGCGCATGTTTTGTAAATCCACAAAGAATAGCCGCTTTGGAAATTCATAAAATGCCCGTGGGAACACATTTCTGTCGTGTGCATGGTGGTAAAATGGCAGTTAGCTTGAAAACAATGAAGGGCAGTGGAACAGAGCAGGCTTTATCCCAGCCAGCAGCGGTGGGCTGAGGTGGCAAGCCTCCGGTATAGTGCATCATGTTGAAACCGGGGACGGGAACGTGACCCGCTAGTTATGAAAAGCTGTGACGAAAGAGACAGATGGACGGCCGGGAATCACTGTCCGGAGATGTTTAGGAGGAGGAGGAGGAGGGAATTTAAATTATGGCCTGGAGAAAATCAGTGAAAGCGTTCCTTGTGCTGTTGAGGGATTGCTTGCCATACCTCCCCGAGAAACAGGAGTTTCGGAAATGTATACTTTGTTACTTTGCCTTTATTGCGAAGGTCCCTAAAGAGATGCTTTGTAGTTTGATGAGTGGCCTTTGGAACAGATACTTACGTAAAACAACTGTCCTTGGTGAGGCCTGTTCTGGAGGCTTTGTTCTCTTCATTATCATATGGGAAGTCAGATGGGATCTGGGGCTGTTAACCGGGAGGAACATCAGGAGGAACATAACGACATGCTTAGGTCTGGACCCCGGTTATAACTAGAAGGGGGTGTGATTTAGTCACCGGAACACAGCAAGACCTTTTGTTTTAAGAAGATCATCCTAGAGGTGAAAACGTGAGCATTTTGGATAAATTCTAGAACCTTAAGCTCCTAAAGCAAAGGAACACCTGAGCTTTTGTTTTTGGCGAAAAGTCCTATAATGGACTGCCAGCAGCTTTGAGGCCAGTGCTTGCCTTGGCTGTGTTGCCACCCACGGCCTGGCGCAGGTCAGACTGGCATGGGACTTGGTTTTTAGCAGCTTAACATTTTAAACTGGTAAAAGAGGATTAAAGTGGAGTTTCCTTTTTAAAATTTCTTTTTGCACATTGGTTAATGAGCAGAACAGGCATGCTAATCTTGAATTACAGACCCGTGGGTGTTACAGTCAAAGATTGGTAAGAAAAAGAGTGTTAAGTGGACAGGGACTGTGTGAGAGAGGCCTGTCCTGCTGAGGGAAACAAGCAGCTCTAAATGAAGCTGCAGCCCCCGTTAGGTGGGATGGACAGAGTCACCCCTGTCTGCTCACAGGGGCTTTGATAGTCTCTTCGTCCGGAGGGATTTTGGACCACAAAATCTCTAGGGAACTGTTTAGCATTCAGATTATATAATTGTGCTGGAAGGGGAGGGATTGTTAGTTCCAGGGAGAACTTTTATGTTCTCAGTAGATGTGCCAGAGACTGGAAGTGTTAGCCGCCACCATTGTAGGAAGCTGCCATTCACACTTGAGAGGGCACTCAGGCCAATTTTATTTTTTTAATGGGCACTAATGGCTTTAATCAAAAGGGAATTTTTGTAGAAAATATTATTAGCATAATACAACAGTAATGTAAGTGTAAACAGAACCTTGCTTTTTAAATTTAATTGGCAATTGTCAAGAAGCATGCATACATTATGAAGAAAGATATCAAAACACTAAAAAATAAGCCGGTCATGGTGGCGCATACCTTTAATCCCAGCACAGAGGGAGGCAGGTGCAGGTAGATTGCTGTGAGTTTGAGGCTAGCCTGGTCTACAAAGGGAGTCCAGGACAGCCAAGGCTACACAAAGAAACCCTATCTCAACAAAACAAAACAAAACAAAACAAAACAAAACAAAACAAATTTACCAAAAACCACTCAGCCCCAGGGAGCTAGTAGCAGTTAGAGGCCAAGCAGTGAGAGCAGTAGAAACATCCAGGTCAGGATGGCGAGTGCTGAGCGCTCACTGAAGGCTCTGTGCAGTGACGGGAAAATAGACAGGAGCAAGCTGAGAGCTCAGTGCAGACACAGAAGGGCCTACCCGACCACGTGGTGCACAGGAGTTCTTCCTTCCAGACTGTTGGCTGGGTTTCCTGTTGGCAAATTGAAATTAACAGGAAAAAAGTCCCCTGCTTATGGGGACCACTACTAGCCGCGCCGACGTTGCCGTAAGTGGGCGTTCTCGATAGCTGGCACGGTGGCCGTGGTGCCGTGACTTGTGCCCTTAGTTATTGCTGAACTCAGCAGCTGTTTCCCAGCTGTCTCCAAAGCTGAGCTGTGCGCTCGGGAATACTCGGTTGCGGAGCTCAACTCACTATAAAACTCCAGCTCAAAGAGGATCGGGGCGGGGGAAGGCCTTTGAAATGCTTCAGAAAGACCGCAAATTTGGGTCATGGAAGAAATCACTGCTTAGTCACATGCACCGTGGAACTGGAAGGGCTGAGCAGCTACTGTAGGACTTGGCACACATAGATGCTTCTAGTGTTGGGATTTTTTATCCCATTTAGAGGCAAGGCCTAGGAACAGGTCATTCATTATGTGGGTGGCACAGAAAAGAAAGTCAGCTTGTATTCAGTACTTCTTTCTGTTTGTTTTGTTTTGTTACTGAGACACACTGGAGCCCTGGCTGGCCTTGAACCCCGGATCTTCCTGCCGATACTTCTTAGGTGCTGGGAACACATACACAGCCGACACATGCTTGAGATACTTTTTTTCCTTCTCCTTCTCCTTCAGCTGAACACAGAGCCATTGCATGCTCTGCAATGCTCTACCACTAAGCCACACCCACGACCTACACTTCTGTTTTCACCCTGAAATCTTGCTCTATGAAGATTAGCAAGTAAATATACTTCCGTCTTCTCTGAATTGTCCATAGTCTTCAGGAATTGGGTGGTGTAGACCATCTTTGTCACACTCGCCTCTGACCCTCCTAGTCATCCCAGTGAGATTGTTCGGATTGTTCTTCCTCTGTCCTTTTTTTTTTTTTTTTTTTTTTTTTTTCAACCTTTGTTGAGAAGAGAGGACATGTTTGTGCTCTGTACCTTCCTGATAGGAAGGCTGAGGAGCGTCTCTAGGGATGGGTGGTGATGGACTCTGACCTGAGAAAGGTCAGACGCTGGGCGAGAACCAGGTGACGCTCCGGCCAGTGCCTGTGAGCAGGGCAGCCAGCACCTAAAGGTCTGTGTTAGCCCAATGAGGCTTAATAGCACGACAGTTAGGTTTCCTCTGTGTTTAATGTATTTGTGTTTGTGTGAGTATGGGGACCTGTGTCTGCCATGGCTCTGTGTAGAGGTCACAGGAAGAGCATCAGCCCTTGTTTCCACCATTTTGATACAGGGTTTCCTTGTTGCTAAGCAAGCCAGGCTAGCTGGCCTTCAGGGACCCTCCTGTCCCCACCTCCCTCGACTGTAGGAGTGCTAGGATTGCAGATGCAGGCCACCCCATCTGGCTCTGCGTGAGGCCGAGGGTCGCTGTTAGCTCAAGCGCCTTAGCCACCCATCTCCCTAGCTCTGTGTGTTGCTTTAGAGAGAGGTGAGCACCTGATGGCTTCCATGGCGAGGTTGGATTTGCCTGGCAGGTTCCTCAGACCCTCGAGCTTGCCACATCCACTGGGAGTGGGCTGACTCTGGAGTTAGTGGGTAGAGACTCTGGTGGCCTGAGTGTTCGTGTCTGAAGCCCCTCAGAGGGACAGGTGGAAGGACGCCACTGCAGAGCCAGCACCTTCCAGCCAGCAGAGCCCCAGTGGCAGTCCCCACATGGGAGAGCTGAGACAGAGGGCGCCTGGGCTCTCCGTGGAGGGCTCCTGTGCTGGGCATCTCGGCTGTTGTCCAGCACTACATCGCTCTAAGGAAGCAGTGGGATCTCTGCTCCTCGTGTCTCCAAGTCAGTCCTGGTGGCTTTTACTAATCCCTTCCTTCCCAGAGCATGGCTTTGCTCTGACGTCATACTTTTTTTGAAGCCCCCCCCCCTTCGCAAAGTCTCCACCATGTTGTCTAGGGTGGCCATGATGGTCTTGAACTCCCATTCCTCCTTCCTTACTCAGCCTCCCAAGTACTGGGATTGCAGGCATTCACCACCACAGCCAGCTGCCACTCTGTTCCACTTCTAAGACTGCTCCTTGCCCTAACCTGCTTGTTGTTTCTAGAGGACTCTTTGTTTGTTTTTCTGAGACAGGGTTTCCTTGTGTAACTCTGGCCTGGAACTAGCTCTGTAGAGGCTGGCCTCGAACTCCCAGAGACACCTGTGCCTCCGAGTGTGGGGATTATACCACCCGTCTTCTACATGATTCTTGTTTCTCAATCACAGGTCACATATTACTGTGTGCAGCCTGGGTCTGTGTTCATCACCTGGTACACATGTTGAAGGATCTTTCTTTAAGAGTAAGCTTTTTTTGAGGCAGGGTTTCTCTGTGTAGCCCTGGCTGTCCTGGAACTTGCTTTGTATGCTAGGCTAGCCTTGAACTCACAGAGCTCTGCCTGCCTCTGTCTCCTAAGTGCTGAGACTAAAGGTGTGCATCATC